TTAATCTTTTAAATTTATAATAAATAATTTAAATTGTATCATAATATTAATTTTAAATAGAAATAATTATATTTTTAATTATAAAAGTAAGTATATATATAAATAAAGATTAATTAAATATAATATAATAATTATTATTGGTAACATAATTATTATATATTTTATTATATTTTTATAACTGTCCGAACACACCAGAATGAGAGGGATCCAGAATGGAAAGATCAAATGAAGCCAAGCTTAGCACAAGAAGGAAAGTAATTAACCTTCAAACGATACAGACCAAAGACGAAAGTTTCAAGGCATTAGACAAAAGGTCAAAACAAGCATCATACAATATAAATCATACTACGAGTTGTAGGTCAACCAAGTATCAGACAGTGGAAAATACAAGATGAAGAAACGTTCCAAACAGAATTGAAATCTTTCATCATCACGACTGAACAAATGAAAGGAAAAGTCGAATCAGACTAAAGGGAAGGTCAACCTAAACGAAAGGGAAAGTCAAACCACACGAAAAGAAAAAGACAAAGTCTATCTCTAGATAGAAACTCAAATTCTAGACGTAGACGAAGAATATTGAAAAGCGTTTGAAGTTCACTATTCACAACGAGGAACATCATATATCACCTACACTCATAAGAAGAGCACACGAAGTCATCAATATTATGACAAAAAAGAAGAAAAATAAACAAAGCATAGAATGAGGATCAGACGAAGCAAAGCCATATGATAGATGAAAAATGACATAAGTACCAGACGATGATAAATCAAATATCAGACGAAGATGAGTCAAGGAAAGTCTCAGCATAAGGATCACACGAAGAGTAAACAAAGTTGAATGATAGATAGAATATGAAATGTGCTCTGGACAATGATGAGTTAAATATAAGACGAAGGTGTGTCAAGGACAACCTAGAGCGCAACATAAAGACTCAGAGGAAGGTTAGTCAAAGAACAGACAAAAGTGAACATCATATCAGACGAATGAAAGCATAGACTGAAAAGTATTCCAGACGGAAACAAAGTCTGTCCATTCACAATGTTTACCAGACCATAGAAAGTAAAAGCATTAAAGGACAAATGCTCAGACGAAGATCAAGACTTGGGATGCAAATGGACTACTAGACGCAGATGAAGACTGCCATGCAAGCATTTAAAGTATCAAGTCTCAAAGGACAAATCCGGCATTGTCTACGATCATATAAAAGCTCTAAAACATGATCGCGTGATTAAAGGAAAAGACAAAGAAGAAGAAAAACGTGCCAAATGTAAAAGCATGCATGTGTCAAAAAAGTACATTACTTTTTTAGATAAGGATAATGCTCTGCAGCTACGATGACCGGGCAAGGATAAAAAGTTGCTAGGTCTCAGCTAAAGTCAGGCACTGCTGCTAACAAGCGTAGAAGACTTCACGCAATGTCTGTAAACAGGAAGCAACATTTAAAGCAAAGATCTTGTGTATTAAATGAAAGATTAAACTAGTCATGAACGACTACATCCGCTTCAATGGACACTTGCAACGGACATATTTTAAAAGACTATATATACATCACGACTTCAAACCTTGAAAGGTTGGCGAAGATGAGCAAAAAGTGATATCAAGCCCATGAAGTAACGAAACTAGAGACAGAGCGCACATAGACTCAAATGTACCATAGTGTATTTATCTTTGTAGACTAAGGAGTTCTAAGTGTAACTTAAGAACATGTACCTTAGTGAGTGTAGAAAATTCTTGTATCCTTTTTGTGAGAGTAAACAAAACACTCAAACCAAATCGTTTATCTATCACTTGTAAAAGCCTGGAGAGGCTTGTCAAAGAATACTCACTACGAGCTAGAAGTGGCTGAACAAAGAATACTAGCGCTAATGAGTGAAGTTAGCGGGCCAGGAGTTGGTCGATAATACTCACTGAGAGCCAGAAGTGGGTGAACAAAGAATACTAGCACTAATGAGTGTAGTAGCAGGTCAGGAGTTGGTCGATAATACTCAAGGAACCAGAAGTGGTTTAAGAATACTAGCGTCGATGAGTGAAGTTGACGAACCCGGAGTGGTTGAGAATACTTGGGACCAGGAGTGGTCGAGAATACTCACTACGACCTTGAAGAGGCTGAACAAAGAATATTTGTACTCCACTGAATATCTAGTGGAACCCTTCAATTGAAGGAGACTAGACGTAGCTCAGTCTGAGCGAACCAGTATAAAACACCTTGCACTTCTCATTTATTTATCAGACGTAGACGCAAATTTTGTTTAGCTAATTTAATATACTGAAAGTTTCGTCTACCGCTTATTTCTCTATGTAGCTATCTTCAGACTGAAAATGCACGCACTTAACTTATTATTTTAAGAAACATTTTCTTTGGAGTAGACAATAAAATCTCATACGCAAAACCTTTTACTAAGAAAATATTACACAATCTTCAAATGTTTGAAATCATATTTTTATCAGATGAACAAGAGTCCCTTGCGAAAAAGAATTTTTAAAATTCCTTTGTTCACACACACACATATTCAACCCCCCTTCTATGTGTCTTTCCGCTAACTTCAATTGGTATCAGAGCTTGTCCCCTTGGGTTAAGCAATTAATATTGCAGGGGTAGAATACGATCCATGGAAGAACGAAGGAAAATGGGGAGACAAAAAGCAAGGAGAAAAAACAACTAGTACAAGTAAAACAGGTATCAAATCATCTACTTCAATGAAGCATGTTCTATATGTCATGAGAGTAGATCACATCAGATACACCAGGATATTCATATATATTTAATGTCCAGTTTAGTCAAAAACACAATAGGAAAACAAACGCAGTAAACCACTACGTCTGGATATCCCTCAGAGTGTAGTAAGAAATTATTGCATCTGAAAATCTTTGTCTGATGAAGAATCTAGGTAGTTTCCCTTGCGTCTAAATATTCAGTCCATGCGTCTGAAAATTCAGTCTGACATATTCCTAATAAATGACCTTCATCATTAAACATAGTGCAGTCGGAGACAAACATTCTCCGCATTTAAAGATTAAAATGTTTAAATTAATAAATGACAAAACCGTCATTTGGGGGTTTTATTTGAAATGACATATCCTTTACTCTAAAATTAATGTGAACATTTAAAGGAAAAAACTTTTGAGTCATTGAATATCAAAACCATCATTTGGGATTTTTCATTGGAAAAGACAGTTCCTTTACCCCAAATTTAATGCAAGCCGCACGCCACTCTGCACGAGGAAGGCATAAGGACGCCACATCATGTAAATAATAATGATAATAATAAAAATAAAAATATTTTTCTGTGTCAAGAACTTTATATCTTCCCTCACACTCTGAACTCTCAAGACCTCAAATTCTCAAACCTTCTTTCTGAACTCCAAAACCTCAATCTCTCCCAAACCTTCCTCATCCACTATAATAACTGCACAAGCTGAAAAAGCTGCACCCGTGACCATCTCTTCTGAAATGTGCAAAGTCACCGACTGCGCTCATACCCTCTCCATGAAGGTAAAACCAGTGATGTACCTAGAGCATCACTCCAACATAAGCCAGATGAAGGAATGGGGAATACCCATTTATGAGGATTTGGCTGACTGTGGAATCCTTGGGTATTTCAACATCAAGGAGATTATTTGCCCTAGCCTGGTAAAGATGTTCTATGACTCCTTGAAGGTTTCTCAAGGATCGTTCGAGGGAAAAGTGATCGGTGTAACTATCAAGCCCATAGAGAAAATCCTAATTCATAGTCGCAAATGAGGCCACAGCTTGAGATGGGTGAAGTAATGAAAACAATTATTCTGGAATCGGAGCTGAAGAGGCAAGAACTCGAAGCTGCGAAGAAGAGAACCAAGCAATACGACAAGCAGGAAAAGGAATTGATTAGGTTGAAGCGTGAGGCCAAGCTAAAAGGTGGATTTTATATGGATCCACAGGCTAAGCTCTTATTAGCATCCGTAGTATTTATGCCATGCACCCCAAAACAAGGAAGATCTTACAGCTGTTGCAATTAAGACAGATACTTAATGGTAAATTTCCCAAAGTCAACAAAACCACAGTGAATATGCTCTGCAGAGTTGAGCCTTATGTGACTTATGAATACCCCAATCTGAAGAACGTCCAACTCATCCTTCCCTTTCAACAACAACCATCGTCCTCTTCACCCAAACGTAAAAAGACAAATCCAACCACCTTAACCATTTGTCCGCATCAGCCTTCATCTTCTCTACCAACGATAGAGTTCATCCAAACACTCTTAAAATTCATCCCTATAAATATAGGTCATGTTTGTTAACTCTTAGCACCTGACCTTGCAACAATTGGCCATTTGCGTCTGCGGATAAATACACCAATAGCAGCTTCTACTCCTCTTGAAGCTCTTCCTTCTGCGTCTGACCCTGCACGGCAATATGTCTCTATTGAGATATTCAACAAGTTCAGAGAAAACTTGGATGAAGTTGGCGGAAAGACACACAAAAGGGGGTGTTGAATGTGTGTGTGCGAGAACGAAGGATTTTAAAAACCATTTTCAAAAGGAGACACTTTTCAGTCTAAAGGTAGTATTATCTTGAATACTTACAATTGTGCAACATTGGCTCATCAAAAGATTCTTCGTCCGAATGTTTATCATCTGCACAAAAAAGGCTTTTCTTAAGAAGAAAATATTCTTTGAGAAAATAAGTTACGTAAGTATGTTTTTTGTTTGAAAATAGTTGTAGTGAAAAATAAGTAGTGGACAAAGTTTTCAATATGATCTAATAGTTAAATAAAATTGCGTTTGAGAGATAGATAAACAATGCAAAGAGTTTTATACTAGTTCACTTGTCCTGAGCTACGTCCAGTCTTCTTCAACTGAAGGGTTCCACTAATCACAACGGATTACAAGTATTCTCAACCACTTCGGGTTCGTCAACTTCACTCGTCGACGCTAGTATTCTGAAACCACTTCTGGTTCCCCGAGTATTCTCAACCACTCCTGGTTCGTCAACTTTACTCGTCAATGCTAGTATTCTTAAACCACTTCTGGTTCTCCAAGTATTCTTTCACTAGCCTCTTTAGGCTTTACAAACAATAGATGTTTTGAGTGTGTATGTGACTCTCACAGAGAGGATAGTATGGTTTCTACACTCGCTAAGGTATTCAACTTCAGTTTTATAAGGATATGTGTTTAGAGTGTGTATATAACTCTCACAGAGAGGATAGGGTAATTTCGACACTGACTAAGATAAGTTATCTTAGTTTTTCACAGATATACAAGATTGTACAGGAAGAGATATAAGATGTTTTAATGTTTGATTTTCTTGTTGCTTCACTTCTCTTCTATATTTCTTCTCTTCTCAGGTCTTGATATTTATAGCCTTGAGATAAATCTGTCCATTTTTTGAATTTGAATGTGTCCGTTGATGCGGAGCTTCCCGTTGGTGCAGATAGTAGTTCGTTCATGGTTGTGTAGATCTTTCATTTAATGCATTTGATCTTGCATTAAATGTTTTCTTACTGAATCTGGGTTACGTGAAGTGCTTTGTGTAGTTTGTTCTCTTTTATGTCTGACTTCAATCATAACCTAGGCATTTCTTTTCTCTTTCTGTCAGTGTAGCTATAGAGTCATTGTCTTTTTCTGAATAATAGGTGTACTTGCTCTAACATTCGCAACTTTGACTTGTGAATTCGCACCCATCTACTTTTCTTCTTTCTTTTCACACTTTTGATGACTTGGTGTGCTCTTCTTATGAGTGTAGACGATATATGATATTTCTCGTTGTGAATAGTGGACTTCAGACGCTTTTCAATATTCTTCGACTGTGTCTGGAATTTGAGTCTTCGTCTAAGAGATAGACTTTGACTTTTTCTTTTGTCTGGTCAGTTGAGCAAATGGAAGACTTTTAATTATGTCTGGAATGTTTCTTCATCTTAGATTATCCATCGTGTGATGCTTTGATCTTCGTCTAGTTGACCATTAAGCTCTAACTTTGTCTTGTTTTTGACTTAGCCTTGTTTGATGCTTATTTTGGCCTTTCGTCTGATACTTCAAGATTTTGACTGGTAGTATGCCTTGTCTTGTATTTCTGTCTGGCTTTTGTCAGGCTTAGTCTTGATGCTTGATCAATTGATCGGATGTTTCATTTAGCTTAACCAGACATGGTATGTGCAATAACGCGTACTTCATTTTTCAGTTTGTTTTTATATTTATCTGAAACACTAACACACGTTAGAAATAAAAATATGCATTATATTTGTCATGTTCAAAACCTTGTTGGGAATTTCTTTGTCTGACTTTACATTGGACAGCAAGTTGGATCGTCTATTCAACTTGATGGCATCTCAACTTTCCAAGGATCCACCTTCGTCTTAATGATCACCTTAGGGAAGATAGAATAATAGGGATAACCGAGTTAGAGGAAAAGAGTCTATTTTTCTTGGAATGTATAGATTCTTCATGATGTACATATTTCTAATTCAAGTCAATACAATATACATTTTTCATCTAGAATTATTGTTTGATATGATCTACTCAATACTATAGTTTTTCTTTTCTCGCTTGCTATGTTAATTTTTCTGGTATCAGATTACTCTTAGAAACTCATCTATTTCGTCTTGATGATTATAAAGGGAGAGAATAATTGGACATATTCTACATTTTCTTGATTGGATAAATTCTTCACTCAATTCAATACAGTATACATGTTTCATTCAAAGCCATTGTTGTAATATCCATGCTCTGATCAATGTTATGATTTTGCTATGAATGATCTTGCTGGGTATCTCACTTGTCTTGATATTTACCCTAGTATAAAATCCCTCTTAGAGATTCTCGCTCTACATTGATATTTATCCTAGTATGTATTTCTTTTTGATGATTACAAAGGGGGAGAAATAGAAAAGAATTTGATCAAATATAATATAACATATGAATCAAACACGACTAAGAAATAATCGAGTGAGGCGGAGAGCATATACTAAGGGGGAGAGTTGTACGTTGTTGTAGTACATTATTCAACCTGTGAACTTGCTATGAACTACGAACTGCTCTGACTCAGTTTTAGCTGAGTCTTATCTGAAACAATTTGATCAATTATATTTGTCATCATAAAAAAGGGGGAGATTGTTAAGTCAGACAAAGCAACTTCTAGCAAGGTTTTGAATGAGACAAATATAATACATGTTGTTATTTCTAACAAGTGTGTTAGTGTTTCAGAAAAACATAAGTACATGCAAGATGAAGAATAGAGCATGTGCCACTTCCTACACCCAAACCAAGATAAAGGGTAAAAACGTCAAGCATCAGATGGAAAGATCAAATGAAGCTAAACCTAGCACAAGAAGAAAAGTAATTAAGCTTTAGACGATACAGACCAAAGACGAAAGTCTCAAAGCATCATACGAAAGGTCAAAACAAGCATCATACAAGACAAATCATACAAGTCGTAGGTCAACCAAGTATTAGATAGTGGAAAATACAAGATGAAGAAACGTTCCAAACGAAATTAAAAGACAAAGTCTATCTCTTAGATAGAAACTCAAATTCTAGACGCATACAAAGAATATTGAAAAGTGTCTGAAGTCCATTATTCACAATGAGGAACATCATATATCGCCTACACTCATAAGAAGAGCACATGAAGTCATCAATATTATGACAAGAAAGAAGAAAAATAAACAAAGCATACAATGACGATCAGACAAAGCAAAGCCATATGATAGATGAAAAACGACATTAGTACCAAACGATGATAAATCAAACATCAGATGAAGATGAGTCAAGGAAAGTCTCAGCATAAGGATCACACGAAGAGTAAACAAAGCTGAATGATAGATAGAATATGAAATGTATGTCGGACAATGATGAGTTAAATATCAGACGAAGGTGTGTCAAGGACAACCCAGAGCGTAATATAAAGACTCAGAGGAAGGTTAGTCAAAGAATAGAAAAAAGTCAACATCATATCAGATGAAGGACAGCACAGACTGAAAAGTATTCTAGACAGAAACAAAGTCTGTCCATTCATAATGTTTACCAGACCATAGAAAGTCAAAGCATTAAAGGAAAAATGCTCAGACGAAGATCAAGACTTGAGATGCAAATGGACTACTAGACGCAGATGAAGAATGCCATGCAAGCATTTAAAGTATCAAGTCTCGAAGGAAAAATCCGGCATCGTCTATGATCATATAAAAGCTCTCAAACATGATTGCGTGATTAAAGGAAAAGACAAAGAAGAAGAAAAACACGCCAAAAGTAAAAGCATGTATGTGTCAAAAAAAGTACATTACTTTTTTAGATAAGGACAACGCTCTGCAGCTACGATGACCGGAAAAGGACAAAAAGTTCCTAGGTCTCAGCTAAAGTCAGACACTGCTGCTAACAAACGTAGAAGACTTCATGCAATGTCTATAAACAGGAAGCAACATTTAAAGCAAAGATCTTGTGCATTAAATGAAAGATCAAACTAGTCATGAACGACTACATCCGCTTCAACGAAAACTTGCAACAGACATATTTTACAAGACTATATATACATCACAACTTCAAACCTTGAAAGGTTGGCGAAGATGTGCAAAGAGTGATATCAAGCCCATGAAGTAACTAAACCAGAGACAGAGCGCATATAGAGTCAAATGTACCATAGTGTATTTATCTCTGTAGACTAAGGAGTTCTAAGTGTAACTTAAGAACATGTACCTTAGTGAGTGTAGCAAATTCTTGTATCCTCTCTTTGAGAGTAAACCAAACACTCAAACCAAATCGTTTATCTATCACTTGTAAAGCCTGAAGAGGCTAGGGAAAGAATATTTGTTACATACAACAGCATCACTACGAGCTAGAAGTGGCTGAACAAAGAATACTAGCGCTAATGAGTGAAGTTAGTGGGCCAAGAGTTGGTCGATAATACTCACTAAGAGCTAGAAGTGGCTGAACAAAGAATACTAGCGCTAATGAGTGAAGTTAGCAGGCTAGGAGTTGGTCGATAATACTCACTAAGAGCCAGAAGTGACTGAATAAAGAATACTAGAGCTAATGAGTGAAGTTAGCCAACCAGGAGTGGTTGATAATACTCGGGGAACCAAAATTGGTTTAAGAATACTAGCGTCGATGAGTGAAGTTGACGAACCAAGAGTGGTTGAGAATACTCGGGACTCGGAGTGGTCAAGAATACTCACTACGAGCCTGAAGAGGCTGAACAAACAATACTTGTACTCTATTGAATATCTAGTGGAACCTTTCAATTGAAGGAGATTGGACGTAGCTTATTCTGAGCGAACTAGTATAAAACACCTTGCACTTCTCATCTATTTATCAAACGCAGACAAATTTTTTTTAGCTAATTTATTATACTGAAAGTTTTGTCTACTGCTTATTTCTCAATGCAACTATCTTCAGGTTGAAAATGCACGCACT